GTTGTTTGTCCGCGATGGACTCCTAAACTACTCAACCGATTTTAATCAAATTTTCACACCGTGTGGAGTTTGGTCCAACTTGAGAGATAGGATAGTTTTTTTGCCCATGAGTGACCCACAATTATTTTTTTGCGATATTAAGGATTTTTAATAGGAGATGACAAATGGTCGTCGAAACGGGCAGAACAACGTCTGCCTGGCAAGCTAGTTTCTACTACAAATTGTAATCTACTTATAAAAATTGCCGGCAATATATTATTACAAACTAGCTATCCGCCCTAGCTTCGCACGGGTTATTTCTGGATATTAACCATTCAATCCCCATAAAAATCCCATGCAGTCGCATGCGCCCGGCAAATCCCGAGCGGTCGCATGCGACCACACCCACCCACAGCACATAAAACCATTTAAACTTATATTTAGAGACTACTTTACTACAAAGAAGTTTGGAATTATAAAATCTATACAAAATTCTCTATCCTGTGTTCTAAAAAAGTCAAGTTTTACTTCATTACAAAAAGATTCTATTGTATTTTTATAACAAAAGAAAACATACCAAGCGAATGTCGGCAGCGTGAAAAACACAATTATTTCAATATTTATTACTCGAAATTATTTACGTAAAAAGATAAATTACATCACACAAAAACTTTCATTACAATTTTATAGTAAAACTTTATACTAAAACACTAATAAAACACTAGAAACATCCAAAAAGCAACACAATAACATTTACGCGAAAATGGCGAACGAAATGAACATAGATTATAAATAAATATCCATAGGATAACAGTTTTTTATTGCACTAGAGAATAGAAAATTTCATATTGATTATATAATGCCAAACTTCTTCTTAGAAAAGTAGTCTCTATATATAAGTTTTTACGGGTTAAAGTGCTGTGGGTGGCTGCGACCTCATGAGACCGCTAGGGGATTTGACGGAATATGGCCGCGGTCTCACGAGACCGCCAGGGGATTGAGAAGTTAACAACAGTGTCACATACCGTTACCGCATCCAATTGTCAACCAGAGACAGCGGGGTGGGGGCTTTTTCTTTTGTAGGTACGATGATATTATATGACGATAAAATTTACAATTTTAAATTATATTGTTATTATATATTAAAGTTTAAAATTTTAAATTATAAATACATAGTAATTAATAACTGTAATTCTACTGATAAAACTAAATTATCACGCCGAGTTGGTCGCCTTGGAAAAACTTAATGTCGCTTCTACACGTTGGCCAACACAGTGGCGAATGTAGTGGCGAATATATTGGCCGAGAGTTGGTGACGGCGTCCACACGTTGGAAGTGGAAGGTCGTTCAGTTTACTTCCTTCGGTTCGAGCCAATGTGCGGACGAATTTATAAGCACCGTGGCGCAGTGGCTCAGCAATGAGTGGCTGCGCCGGGCGCGCGGGTTTGATCCCGCACGGAACAAGTATTTGTATGTCCTACAAATAATTGTTTCGGGTCTGAGTGTGTGTCCTTGTGCAATTTATGTTTGTAAACTGCCTGCGCGATACGGGAGAAAATCCTAGTGTGGGGTTAACGTTTTTATAAAAGAATTATAAAATAATAGTGGATATTAATGGGGCTGTAAATAGATATACGATATACGATTAGCTTTATTTATTCTTTACATGCATCATCATAAACTGGAATAAATACCATTAATAAGAACTTAACTTATTTTAAAGTTAAAGAAGTTATAATCGATTAGTCTATGTTTTAAAATTGGGTTTTGATTTTAAAATTTAGCAAAATATGTACTTGCATTTCTATCAGACATTTGATGTATATAAAACACCTTATAATTTATTTGGTAATTTAATTATTTTTTGAGAAAGACAAAAACAATAGCAATAAATATAATTAACACTGATTTAATAATAGGTACTAATTATAACTTATAACATAAATGAAAAACTCATGACGAGCAAAGTGGCTCAGGACCATGCTTGGCGGCAGTCTGTGGAGGAGGATGTTCAGTAGTGGACTTGTGAACAGCTGTAATGATGATGATGATGATTCGAAATCTTGCACGATTAAATTATAAGAAATCGACGTTTTTTATAGGATAGGGTGACAAACGAGCACACAGTTTACCTAATGGTAAGTGGTTACTGTGACCCACAGACATCTACATCCATCCTCGATTACGAATCAAAATGCAGATGCGTTGTCATCCATGGGGACTAAGATGAAATGCCTCGTTTCTTCACACTCTACACTCACTATACGAAACACAGCATCATTAAGCTACTATTTTACGCTGATATTCTGTGAGAGCGTAGTCCTTCCCCGGTCGAGCTGACCTTCGTGCTGCAACTATACTTCTAATATAATTGCATGGTTCTACCACGTATAAACGACGTGCTTCATTTTTTTTTTCATTTTAAAATTGTTCTCGTAATAATCTGTTTGTGAAAAAACGTTAATTTTTTTAATAAATAGCTTATTGATTAAAACAAATGTTCAATAATAATTAAATCGCGCTAATTAAAGTAGTAGGAATGTTTAAAGTTGAAATTGGCACTAAAAGGCTGGTAATTGGGGCATCCACCCTACAAAGCGTGAATATAAAATTTAATTCAGATGCGTGTAATCACTCTGGGAGCTTGTAGCAAACTAAACTCGCGGCCAACGTGTGGACGCGGCGACCAAACTCTGCCAACAATCCTTTGATCTTTTGTAAAAAACCGACACCACACGGATCTCGCGTCAACTTGCGGGCCATCGTTCCAATACATACCAATGAAGCCCAAACACCCTGTCTACACGTTGGCCAATGCTATTGGCCACTACATTCGCCACTGTGTTGGCCAACGTGTAGAGGCGCCGTAATGACTCATTGGGTTCGATGTTATCAGCAAATATAAAGTATACATCCAGGTTTTACATCGCAGTATTCATTCAGGCCTAAGGCCACGGACAATAAAGCGGGCGGGCTCAGTCTCTCGTTTTGCGTCAAATATAACGCACGCGCGATTTTTGTTATAAAATCTCTTGCTCGTGGTGTATGTGACTGACGTTAATGTATCTTGCTGAGAACTATGCTCAACCAGTGATTTATTTTATATCTTGCACAATAAACTAAACTTCGATATTTAGATTCACTGTTAAATAAAAATATAACATAACAAAATCAAGGTAAGACTTATTTTTAAATCAAATAAACTTAACAAACGAGCAGAACGTCCGTCTGAAGTGAATGTTGAGGCTAATAGACATCTTACAAGAATCAGAGAAAACACTGAAAGCAATTAGTAAGGCGTGCTACTTTAATATATCACTCAAATATACTCAAAATGTTTTATTTTTTAGACATGCAGGTTTTTTTACGATGTTTCCCTTCACCTACAAACAAGGAAATTAGTAGGTACTTAAAATTACAGTTAACAAATTCATTGCTGCCAGCGGGTATCACAACCGGGCTATTTGCGTACTTTGAAATTTACAGCGAGCGCTAAGCAAATGATAAAAATAGTCATTAAAAAATTATATGCTAGTTAACGCACTTAAGTAGCAAATCTGAACTAAAAATAATATCTTTCTAGTCGTAACAGCAAGCATAGTTACTTTCATTATCAGTCAGTGAAAGTATTTGACAACAGTTGAGAGTAATTAAGTAAGTAATATTTCAAAAACTTGATTATTATTTCTGTTTTATATCAAAATTTGTATTCGGTCCACACAGCGGACTTTTTCCAGGTTTATATTCCCTTTGAAATTGAAAAAGGTGACCAGCTGTGGGACGTGTACGAATAGAACGTTACTTTAATTTTATTCACTTTTATGCATATTTGATAATGTGCTTTACAGTGAAGAAAAATATTGTGAGAAAAGATTCATAATTTAAGAAAAAGTCGGTGATATGTGACAAATCCCACTAATGCGCATTCCAGTACTGCAACGTGTTCCATAACTATGGCAGAAACTATTACCGGTGTACTAGCTGCTTTATTTTAAAATTAAAAAGTAATTTTTACTTTAAGCACCAGTGATAAATTAACAATGTTATTACATTCGGTTCTCATTAAAAATTTCGATGAAAATTTGTACAAAATTTAAATGAAACAACTAAATATTTAAAAAAATAACAGCGTTCCATTTTCTATTCCAATTATAGAGAAAACTTAGCAAGTGTTTTTGACACAATTGAAACAATATTATTTTTATTGAATTACTATTGAATTAAAAAATATACACTAAATATACTAATTTTATGTCATTTTATTTACCAATATAATTATAAATACAAGAAATACCCAATATATAGTGTTCGATGGTAAAAACATTAAGGAGAATATATAAATGTTTGCTAAATAAAATTTATTCCGAACACATATAAAGCCTTTACCGTGTAGAATTGGTGTAAGAATATTTATTACTTCACATAGACCTGTGTATGTTGTTGGAGACGATAGGGGAAACACACTAGGAGATGAGCAGTGTTAGCAGTCTTACTAATAATAAATAAAACAATAAACAAGTGGTAAAATTGAGAATTTTGTACAACCGACCTCAATATACTCGTAATTAAAATGAGAACATCATCAATGTATTCGAAGTCAATTAAATGTTAAAGATAACTCAAAAACTACTGGCTAGATCCTGATTAAATTTATCTGGGGCCACGTGAGAATCACCAGCTTTCAGATAAATTAAGAATCATAAAAATAAGTTCACGCAGAAAAAAGTTTTTAGGTAACACACATAAAAACATACAGTCGAATTAAATACGTCTTCCATTTTGAAGTCGGTAAAAGTCGGTTGCCAACCCGTGTCCAAAGCGTGGCAACTATAGCAAATATCCCCCCTCTTGGGGGCTTTTTTATAGGCTGTAACGGTAACGTAGACTTGCAGTGTAACTGTAAGCCCTATGCCCTCTTGTGAAAGTCTACAGACTTTACTTAGTTTTTATTTTATTTAATATTGTCGTGTTTATAATTCCAATTTCCAAAAATGTTTATTCAGCAATGCTTTTTGTTACAGATGAAAGTATCCGTGTTGGTGCTAGCACTTCTACTTTTCGTAGCAATATCTAACGCTCGGCCAAATCTAAGCCAATCTGATTCTTCTATTTTCGAAGATGAAAAAGAAGAAGAGTCTGGTTATGTTGAAAGAAACCAAGAATATGACGGAAGAAGAAGAAGGACAAGACATTCACGTCAAATTTTTTATGGGTACGACTATCCATGGCCTTCGTCTTATGAGAGTCATAAAAACCTAAGGCTTTTGGAAGAGATTCTCTTTCAAGTAAAAAAACTTACCGAAGAGGTTTCAGGTTCTTTGAAAAGGCAACAGGCTGGATATACTCCACCTCAACCCATTTACATTCCATACCCTGTTTATATACCAGCTTTAGGCTCAAAATGCTTCGACGGTGTAAACAATAACTTAAGCAATGTGCCTGATACTGATTCTAGATTTCCTGTGATTTTTGATAAAAACCAAATATGGGGAATCGATCAAGGAGAAAATACTGTTGACAATGATGACTCCGATGGAACAAGGCCAATTTCTTTGGAGCCGGTTAACTCAAACCGACCGCAGGGCAGACCGATACCTTCGGTTGAACACGGCAGTTCTCAAGCTGGGGTGAGTAAACAATTCATTATTTTGTGAATGAAAGTACATGAAACACTGAAGAGATATGATTTATTTTAAAAATGTGATTCCTAATGGGTAAAAATTATCTTTTAATAAAAAATACAATACGATTTAAAAAAAATCAAAGAATATCCCCTCCCCATTCTAACATCATACAACCAAGCGGCCGGCGGGTCTTCACCGCCTTTGTTTTCGATATTCCACGCATTCAAACCAAACGGTTTGCTACGTTCAGCAGACGAGTAGAGTAATCTGCTCTGACTTTCCATCCGAATTCAATCTGGGCGTCTTCAACTCAAGAGTGAATAGACCTTTGTTACGCTAAGAAAGTGTACTTTACCATTTAGGGCTTCACTTACCACCTAGTGGGATTGTGATCAAAAAAGAGACTGACTATAAAAACTTATCCCGCAAATTAATAATGTAAATAAACAAAATATATATACTATAACAGCTCAAATGTTAGTTCAAATTTTATAATATGATATACTTAAAATCGCTTTTTGCTGTATATTAATTTAGAATTATGTATATTAAAAATGGTTAAAATATCATTATAATACATGTTATACGAGTATTTCACCAGAAGGAAATAGCAAATTAGGTAATTGCATATGTCCATAAAAGAAAAGTTTTTTAAAGCGCAATAATCTTCTTTTAAAAGCATATTTTATGTCTTTGAATTCGTGCAAGTAACATGTATCTTTATCGTTTTTTTTTACATTGTTACATGTTAGTTTTGATTTATTATTTAGTGATTTATTATTCCACCTTTTTTCCAGGATGTAACAACTGCCGCCCCGACATTAGCCAAGTCACCGGCACGGGAGCCCGGTATTTGTGAAGCCGCTATCCTTTCTTGCTGTAGATTTAGAGATTTGAAACAGAAAGAATGTTTCACGGAATATGGCTGCGTTAAAACTTACTCTACAGGCGTTGCTTGCTCACCAAAAGCTATCCAAGCTGTAATTCAAAACTTTAAAAATGCGTATGCGCCTAGTTGATCACATAAAACATAAAAACAGTATTTAAATCACCTAACAGTATTATATGATTTAACTAATTTACACTATGAAACTAATTAATTTTCTTAGGTAAAAATTTTCGACACTTTTTTGTTTCATATTAGTTACTTTTGTTAAATTTAAAATCGAGCTTAGATCGATTTTCGTTTCCTATTTACTCTATCCTTAACTGTTAATTGGTTTTTATGTTATAATTAAACGTATTGTAATTTAGTAATATTTCATGGATGAACTTCGTTATCGTTTCGCGTTAATTCGACAGTAACAAGAATGTATTAAAGATATGATGCCAATATGTTTCTTAGGCATAAAATATCAAAAAAAAAAAACGGGACGGCTTATCTACTAACAGAATAGTCAATAGTCACAGTAGGTGAATACGTAAGCTAAGTCTGCCCTATAAAAAAGTTTGATAAAATACGACCATAATTCAATAGTCTAGGAGTTCTTATCAGCAGATATGAGTGCGTTGTATTGTCGCCTTATCAAACATTATGCATGATCATCGAACACAAGCAATGTTATTTTATTTACTAAAAAGGACTAAAAGTATTAAATTATTTCTTACTGATTCACAGAAAATGTTAAAGTTTAAGAACGATTTGGTTTATGAATTTTTAAAACAAAGTTGAAATTCAAATCTCATTTTGTGCATATATTTAGGTCCATGCATTATGTAATTGTTGATATTAAGATGCCATAGAAGTTCATACAGTGTATGTGATTGTTAAGGTGGGCTACACTAGACGAGTCGAGCACGAGCGGAGCATGAGCCGAGCACAAATTCGTGTAGTGTGGACTGACTTACAAGCCTCAAACAAGCGCGCTTCGAGCGCTTGGTTCGTGCCCGACTGTGCTCAGCCCATTGTAGGTTTTTTGACGAAAACAGAGAGATTTGCATCGCATGCGTTGATTTGCATATTGTAGGCTCGTTGTACGTTCAACCTTGACATCGCGAGTAGAGCGGCTCAGTTTGTACTCAGCTCGTACTCGGCTCCTCTAGCGTAGACCCACCTTTAACATTTATATGTATAATTAGATATAATTTGTATTAAATTTGTCCTGTTATCGTTAACTGCAAAATTTCAGTCCGATATGTGCAGCTTTTATTAGGCATTTAGTGTTATATATTATTAATTAATTTTTACACATGTCATTTGTGCCTAGTCTTTAATAATTAAGTCCTAAAATTTAAATTGTTTTATTATTTCCAACAATTTATTTATATACAAGTACATTTTATTCATTATTAACTCAAAATTCAATGCGAACTACGTGCATAACTGACGGTTCAATAACGATATCCAGAATTGTTTTTGCCTCGCACAACGACTTTGTGGAAGCTGTTATATCGTTATATAATTTTAACATCAGGTAAGGCGCTTGCTCATTTGCTCCCTATAAAAAAATCTGCCTCTCTCTGATATTTGCGTCATGAACTTAATTTTACTACTCGCTAACTCAGTGTGTTGCAAATAGTGTAGTTGTTATGTTGAGTTTACGGAACAATTCATATAACGAGGCCAAAAATAAACCGAGGCCAAACGCTTGGTTTAAATTTCATTGTAAAGGAAAAATCTTGTTGGAAAAGGTGCGCATAGAAATCGTCAATTGCAATTTTAATTTACTAAGTAAGGCTTCGTTTTTGCTTCAGAGTCAAGAGTCTATCTGGGTTGAATCTATCTATGCATTACATCCTACAAAAGTTTTCTTCTGAGTATGGGCCTCCCCATAGCTCGCCTCATAGGGGGAATTTTTGCTATAGTTGGACGCTTCGGAGACGGGCTGGCAAATGCAGTTTTTTTTTTTTTTTCAAATATAATGGCTACTAAATTTATTAGAACAATAATTACTTTACGCGAAAATGATATTAAAGTGTAATAATGATTATAATATAGTAGGATGAAAATCCGACAGTGGACATGAGTCTGAGACAGATAAAATAATCTTCAGTAGAAGAAATTTGTGCGTAAATATTACATCGGGCGCGTATAGTGTAGTTCATGTTATATATCATGATATTATATTATTTCTTCTTATCAAGACGCTACAGACTTCCGGTAGACATAGTCTATAATCCGTTCGCGTTAAGAAAATAGTGAGTCATCAGTGCAACTACAGGGTAAAGGTGTAATCACAGTAAATTTTTTTTTCAAACATTTAATTAAGTTTAATGGAAACATTTTTCACATCATTCATCATTATTTGCCTCAGATATTTACGCTTCCATAAAACAATATCTTCTCTTTCGACTAACAATGTTCTGCTATCCTGTTTATTGAAATCGAAACCAAGCTCGTGCGTTATTTTATGAAGTGTGGTACGTTTGAAAACAGGAATATCTTCGTCAGCTTCGCAGTGTCATAATTTTGACCAATGTCGGGCAGTCGTTATTTAAATATATTGAGTGAACTTTTCTCCTTATTGCACATGTTCATGTAATTTATCGACCGTCGATAGTCGAGCTCTTTTTTTCACGGGTGATTTTAATATGTTAGTATCCTTTTGTTCTTTAATAATTTCATAACAGTATTTTCGGACATACCACATGCACTTGCTGTTTTTATTACTGTGCTCTCCACAGTCGCATTTAAATCACACAGTTTAAAGTACTTATAAACATTGTAAATTACGCGTCTCTTTCCGCTATGGATTATTGATCCACCTTTATTCTTTCAAATAGGTGAGGTATTCATTTTCATAATTTAATGTTGAACGAGTAACACGCAAAATACACAACTGTTTTGTTCGAAGGCCTGACTTCTACTTTCACTGTGAACTCGACTTTCTAATTTCTTTCATTTTAATTGGGGGGGGTGGCCAGGCCGGCGGACAAATGACGTGGTAGTTCGCTGTTAGGTAGGATTTTGTACTGTGGATCTCCCAACTGGTCAAGGTATTCGTATTGTACAAATTATGGTATGTATATACATGATGGTGAACCACTATACACTGGAACCTATTACTTTCTACTGCTTCGGTGGTCTAGTGGTTGCAGTAGTGCGACAGCTGATCATGAGGTCCTGGGTTCGAATCCCGGGTCGGGCCAAAAATTAATTATTGAGCTTTTTCGTCAAGAAATTGTCAGTAGTTGCTCGGAGTCAGGAAGTTGGCGGTGTCTCACCCCCCTGCCTCGGAAAGCACGTAAAGCCATTGGTCCCGCGCCTTATCTCCCTCCGGTCGTGTCGGTTTACCGTCCCCTCGGATTATGAGACTGAGAGTGAATCAACATTAACCGTAAAGAGATCTATATATATGTAAATGTTGATCAGATGCGACTTCACGCGAGCACTTTGTTGATCCGAAAACGAATGTTGATCCGGCGCCTTTTGTTGATCCAATATGCATCTCTGGTAACTAATGTGGCTCCGACCGGATCAACATCTGCACTCACAAGACTGTTTGCTAGCGTTGGCCGAAGTTGATCCGATATACAAATCCACCTTGCGATGGTTACGGAAAATGTTGATCCGATTTAAATGAGCCAATCAGAGCACAGCAAACGATAAGATAAACGATCGGATTGGCTGAATGCAGCCGCGGCGTTGCCGTTTCGTATCTTTGGCGGTACAAGCTACAGATTAAATACGTATTATATAATGCAGTCAGGGTGCTGTTGGGTCTGCCTCGTTATTGTAATGCGCTGGGTATGTTCGCGGATGCGCGTGTGGATTGTTTCTACACCACCATGCGTAAACGATGCACATCCCTGGTGCGCAGGGTGCGGGCCAGTTCCAATAGTATCCTGAGGGCATTTTCTGACAGGTTTGAGGTCAGTGCCTGAACCATTGTCATATGGTGCACGTGCTGACTAATCGGTCTTATATATAGTTTTAAAATTAGGTAAATAGTTTTAAGATTTGTATTATTACTAACATCAATGATCCTTGTGGTCGAAATAAACGACTTTTTTTAACGAATTACTCGACAACGCCCCTTCTTGTAGCGGAAGTGGTGGCAACGGCGACATAAGGTATTCATCTGAGTGCGTATTTGCGTGCGCGCGCGCGTGTGAGTGTGTGTCTGTGTGTGTGTTTGTGTGTGTGTGTGTGTTTTTTTTGTGTGTGCATGTGCGCGTGTGCGTGTGCGTATGTGTACGTGTGTGTGTGTGTGTGTGTGTGTGTGTGTGTGTGTGTGTGTGCATGTTTACGCGCACGCTTGCGTGTTTATGTGTGTGTGTGTGTGTGTGTGTTTACCATAAACCAGTTAACATTCTACATCTTCATAATCAAGATTTTTTAGGACGCGTTTACAAAATTGATAGGTATAGAATCGAACTATTACATGAGAAATTATCATGAGACCTTACATCAGGTCTTGATGGAGTGACCTCAAAATGTAATTCGGGATTACTAGTGGAACTTCTGGACTAGTAGAACTGGGTGTGCTGAGTTTGGGCTCGTTTTGTTAGTTATGATGAGTCCTTACCTCCGGACTTGCTGAAGTGACCCGAAGGTTTACTTCGTTAACTAACACTGTAACACCTGGACTAGTAGAACTAGGTATGCCGAGTTTGAGTTTATTTTGTTAGTTATGATGAAACCGTCACAAAACAAAAGTTATTTTCACTTTGTCTCTAGTAGCAATAGGTATCCAAGCTGATATTCGGAAAAATGAATAACCTCGTAGTAACATCTTTAGGGGCAGTATCGATATCCACTTACCAGCCACACTGTTTTTCGCTGTAAGCAACTGTCCTTTATATGAGTCTCACTTGCCCTCACGCGGTACCCACTGTACTGCACTCCAGTGCACCCACCACTACCTCTGCCACCTACGCCTCCACATCTACCACCGCACCCCTCTCTAAGCCTTCGTTCTCCACCTCCGCTACCTCCGCCTCCACCATAAACTCTGCTCCATCCGCCTCAACAATAAACTCCGCTCCCTCCGCCGCCACCACCACGCGCCGTCACTATTCTTTTCGCCTCCAACACAATTCCCCGTTTCCACTATCTAAGACTTCACCACAAATTCCT